GCTCCGAGGGCCGGGGCCGGCTGGGCTGCGCGTCGGCGACCGCGGCCTGCTCCCGCGGGCCCCACTAAAGCCCCCTGGGTCTATTGCCCCTCTCACCTGCCCCTCCTGTCAGCCGCCATAAGCCCCTTCTGCTGCAGGACAGGTCGGGAACCCGCGCGCGGCGCCGCCATTGCCCGCTTTTCCCAGCGTGTGAGCGAACCGCCCACAAACTAAACAGACCCGAGGCCGCGGCCTCCTCCGCGTCCCCACCCCGCCTCCCGACGTCCGCCGCGCAGGTGTCCAACCATCCGCACGCCAGGCAGGCCTTCCCCGCCCCTGCCGTGCGCAAGCGCAGAACGCTCTCTGGGAACCAGCGTTGTCCAATGCGGTCCGAAAAGGCGGTGGACGGAACGGGAAGGGACAGGAAAAGAGAAGGCTTGGGAATCCGATTGGCTGGCGATTCCCGCGGAAATTGCAGCCTCCGCCCCTTCGGGCTTCTCCCTCTCTTCCCGCTACGCCAATTGTGATAAGTTCTCAAGAGCCCGGGAGGCTGGTGTTTGTCTGGGTTTCCAGCACCGATCGGTGCTTTTCCAGACTTTCTCGGGGCTCTCTTGGTCGCATTCGGTCCTCCCTTGCCCATAGGCACAACTGGCCCTCGAAGTCCATCCCTTCCCAGCCGTTGGCCCAAGACGGGGATTGAGAGCAGTGCGGGTGGCATGGTTTGCGTTTTCACCTTGTATTGAAGGACAGTAGGCTGTGCAGTTCAGGGGGTTATGGGATTTACCAGCAGCGTGTCCTTGTGCAGGTTTTCCACCCCTCTGACAGGCAGACTAAAAGAGACCCAGCTTCTGGAACAGATGTAACACGCTGTCTGTCACTCCTAGGCTGCTGCAGTCCTTCTCTAGCTTCTCTGCATCGCCTCACCATTCAGTCTCCGTCTAACAGTAGAAATACTGGACATTGGGTGGTAGGTCATCAGATGCTGCCAGATTTAAATTGTGCCAACAACATCTCCACTGCCTAGGGATAAACCGTAGCTTGCCTTTGCTCAGGCTTCAAAACCCCATTTGTGATGTCCAGACAGAAACTGTTCCTGACATAGTAGGCACTAGGAAATGCTGAGCAAATGAGATTGAGTCTGGGCTGGGAAAAATAGTTATGTCTGTAGATTCACCTAGGGGATTGTCCAGTTGTCTTCATAGAAAACATTATCATCATCATCCTGGTGAGCAAAGCAGACATCATAGGCAGGGGGTGGAGTATGAGGTTCCGAGGTGGGGGTCACCCTCAAGCTTTGCAGGTCAGGAGCGGTGGACACAACTCGTGGTCCTCGCAGTCGGAGGCTGATAAGAGCATTCCCAGGGCTTCTGGCCGGCGTCATAGTTCCCTCTGAGCCCACTCGCCTTTCCAGTCGGCCTGTCCTAGAACTGTCTGGTTGGTTAGGCTGTCCTCCATCAACTCCTGGGATGATTACAACACTGCTGTAAGGAGGTGGTTGATCCAACGGTTGGGGCTGGTCCTGTGATTCCAACACCACCACTGCCTCTTCATAGGTTGGTACCTCAAAAGCTGCGTTGTCCCTGAGGGAGGAGAAATAAGGTTGCTAGTGGCTGGCTGAAAGGAGCCCCTTTTGCTTTTCCTGTTTGCTAGTCACAGAAGACCACTCTGCTGATCCCTGACCCCTGTTGTCACTGATACCAGTGACAGAGGAAAGTTGTCTGTGCCTCAGAAACTAAAAAGATAGAGGGAGCCAGGGCTCAAAGTACATTCCTGACATCCTTTTGGCCCCTTAAACTCACCGTGCGTTGCCTGAAGACCCCGGGCTCTCTGTCTGCATAGACTGTACTGATCTTTGCATTGACCGGAACCCCCATTCCAGGCAACAGGCCAGAAGACAGGCAAAGAAGCAGCAGCCAGCCAGGCTGAGAAAGAAATATGCAGCAGGGGCGACTTTTGGCCATGAACCCAGCAAAACCAGCCCCAGGAGGAGGGAGGCACTGCTCAGGAAGAGAAATGGTTTCTTCAGTCTCCCCCACAACTGGCTTGGCACCATGGCCCCTTCCCAGGGCACCTGCAAAAAGACACACGGTTGTGTGTAAACCAGCCCTTGGCCTCATGGTTGGGTCAGACACCAAGACCAGCATAGCAGACTCCTCTGTTTCGGCTGCACGATCTTTAATTTCAAATCCAACAAGGGTCTCCTTCAGTTCCATAATTCTGTATAGGTTATTTGGAAAAGCATGGGAACCGGGCCAGAGGTTCTGATTCCCAGCCCTTGCGTGGTTTACCATGTGATGGTCTGTCTGCCTGCCTTCTTATGGCTCCTTATGGCCTCCCTTTCAGCTTCTTTCTACACTATGCAGGATCCAGTGACAACCACCCTACCTGTAGCCTCAGGATATACATATAGCATCTTTGGAATTCAGGTAATAGGGCAGGCCCTGCCCTTTTCTCTATTACTTCTCTAGAAGGACTTCTACCCCCGGCCTCCCTAGTCTAGAGGCCCTCTGCCTGATCTTTTTGGAGAAAGACGCGGAGAGGGTGTATCACTTACCCTTGCCCCAGTCTTCTGATCTCCCCCACCATCCAGTCAGACAGTGCTTTGGTTGGAAGGAGAAAGTGTACTTCGATGCAACAAAGCCATGGAAAAATTCAGTAAGAAAAATTCAGTAAGAAAAATTCAGGCCTGGTGTTCTGGCCCTCATGACTTTCCCATCTCTTCTACCCCACCCCCCTATCTTACAGACACACCCCAGCACCCATCCGCCCAATTCACTAGCCTCAGATTTCAAGTTTCCTGCCAGGAATCAGCCCAAGGTCTGGGGAGGAGAATGGAGGCAGGAGAGGCCTTGTCTTTTCTCCCAAACAGAGCAACTCTTAGACAGCTCCAATCCCCAACCAGCCTTTCAGTAGTTCCCTGAGCCCTGAGTACTAAGAGGCCCCACTGCTGGGATGTCTCCAGCCTCTGATCATGGCCCCAGCAGTTAATGCTCACCTTTCTCCACCCGGTGTCCAGCAGAAACCAGGTCAGCCAGCAGGAGAGCAGGGGCAGGAGGCGGAGCCCAATGGTCCCACCCTCTCTTCTGCCCCAATCCCTTCTTCCTGTCCAGTCTTCTTCCTCCCTCCCACTTTCTCTTCAAGGCTGGATCTGCTACTGCACCTTGATTTCTACTCCACCCAACCTCATAAGGAGGCTCCCCCCAACTTCCATGATCTTTGTACTTAGGACCCAAGTGAGAAGTAACCTTTCACGCTCCCCTCTCAGTGTACCTTGTAATCACAGCCATCTGCCTGAATACTTTATTTCCTGCCTGTATCAACCAGGTGACTGGGAGCAGAGGTGAAGCTTACTGAATTTCTGTTGATCACACTCTGCTTCTGTGTTTTGCACACGATGAACTATGCTGTGGCCATATGTGCCCTGTGTCTGCTGCTGCTCCACGGATTCTTTGTGTGTGTGTGTGTGTGTGTGTGTGTGTGTGTGTGTGTGTGCTTCTTGGTTGGGTTAACTAGGTTCTTCAAAATCTACCTTCCCACCAAGCCATAACTGCTTTTATTGTGCAACCACAGCAATCCTTTCTTCCTCTGTTCCTGTCTTTTCCAGTGCATTCTACTTTACTGTCTACTTACTTTTCTTCCACTTAGAGTTTCTCTAGGGAAGTGACAAATGCCAGTCATCTCTGAAATGAACATGGCTCTTGACACTGGTGGGCACTGCCCAGTAGAACAGATTCTCTCACTAGGAGTCACAGATGGGTCACTATGCCTGCCGATCCAGGAGCCGCTGTAGTTGTGGGCCAGGCAACACGTAAGTAAGGGAGTTGTGGGGAGATGGAGAGGGGTGGTGCCCTTGAGCCAAACTTGGCTCTGTTCCTTCAGAGTATCAACAGTGACACACCAATGGGAACTGTAGACAATGAGGCACAAATATACTATAACCTGGGAACCTTAGGGACAGTTGTGAGGGGGCTAGGCAGGGTTGTTGTAGCAGCATGTGTGGGGTGGTGAAATTTCATTATGTTCTTCAGTCCCAGATTGCTTTGGAGATAAGGAAGAGACACATAAGGCCATAGTGTCTACATGAAGTGTATATTATACAAAGTAGAAGTGGGGGTGGGGGATGGGAAGAGGGCTGGTTATTTTCTTCACACCAAATAAAATCTTCATCTTCTTCTTCTTCACCATCATCATCATCATCATTTGGATATAGAGCAAGCTATATAGCTAAGAATGACTTCAAACTTATGTAGCCCATAATGGTTTCAGATTCATGGTCCCCCTGCTACATCTTCCTGAGTGTGTTGTGATTATAGACCTGTACCACAGCATCCAGCTCATATTTGTTCATTTACTTACTATTAGGAAAGTATAGCTGGAATCAGGAGTTTTGATCTTTAATATATGAGCAGAAGGAAATTGGCAAAGGTTCACTGGTTTGTGTCATAAGTTAGTTTTGTTAAGGATTGAGAGAGGAGTGGAGGCGAGAGACAAGAGACCAAAGGGTATGGACCTGAGTTTCTACAGTATGAGGATTAGTTATGCAGGATTGGAGAGCTGGGACCTTTGTAGCTTTAAGGTCTTGGTTGACAGAGGAGAGTACAGTAGATTTGTTGATTGTAATAAGAACTAGATCCAAATCAGAGGCAGGATTTTATGGCTGCACAGTTAATGTATTCTTTGTTCCAAGAATTTTAAATGGATTAAAAAATAGCATTTCTTTAAAAATTAAATGTTACAATATATTTAAAAGTTACAGAAAATTATTTATAGTTAACATGGTCATTTAAAAGTTTTATAGCTTCTCTCAGGCTATGTACATACAAACCAGACTTTAGTCAAGGATCTTCATCATTTTGTATCTTTAAAAAGTTTTAAATGGGGGCTGGGAAGGTGGCTCAGGGGAAGAGTGCTTGCCTTACATGCATGAGACCCTGGGTTTGATTCCTCGGCACCACATAAGCAGAAAAAGCCGGAAGTGGCGCTGTGGTTCAAGTGGTAGAGCACTAGCCTTGAGCTGAAGAGCTGAGGGACAGCGCCCAGGCCCAGAGTTCAGGCCCCACCAACCAAAAAAAAAAAAAAGTTTTAAATGTTAGATAATATATATTTTACCTGTTGATACAGTCTTTATTATAGTAACTTTTCTTTCTTTTTCCTACTTTGTGCCACAGTTTTGCATATGCTAAGTACTTGTTCTGTGCTTATGTATGTGCTCCACTCTTAAAGTAATTTCTAACAAGCAAAGCAAAACAAGCTATAATTTCAAATATTCTATTTAATTTTTATGATCATTAAAAGTGATGACAGAAGAGACAGAAAATAGGTTAGAGGTTGCTAGGACCAGAGGTGGAGGGAGGAAGGAGTAATTAATTGCTAATGGGATTCTTTGTGGAGTGACCAAAAAGGTTTAGAATTAGATGTTGGTGAGGCTTTCAAAACTCTATGAACAAACTAAAAAGAACCTCACTGAATTGCACACTTCCAAAGGGTGAATTATATCTCAATAAAGCTATTCAAAAATAATGCAGAAGGCTGGGTGCCCGTGGCTCACGCCTGTAATCCTAGGAGGATGAGATCTGAGGATCGCAGTTCAAAGCCATCACGGGCAGGAAAGTCTCTTATCTCCAATAAACCACCAGAAAACTGGAAGTGGTGCTGTAGCTCAAGTGGTAGAGTGCTAGCCTTGAGCTGAAGAGCATAGGGACAGTGCCCAGGCCCAGAGTTCAAGCTCCATGACCGACAAAAAAAATAAATAAATAAAATTAAAAATAGATATATATATAGAGAGAGGGCTTCTTATATGTAGTTTTTCCTTCTTTTGGGGGTCAAATTATGAATTCTGAAAGGAGGATAAATTGTACAGTATACCATTTTTGATAGATATTGATATGTAAGCCTCTATTGCCTTAAATACAAATGACTGAACATTTCTCAAAAGTTTTACCTTTTTAAAATTCTTCAACTTGGTATCCATAGCCAAATATGAATGTATAACTCTGTCGTTTTACTTTCTACATCTCTGGAGACTCACTAGGTCCTCTGTGCCCATTTGTCAAGGAGACCCACTAGCTCCCCTGTGCCTGCTGTTCCCACCTCACTATGTTCTAGGAGAAGAGGAGAGGACTGCCAGGCTACAGGTGAGACGTGGATGCCTGCTGTACAGTGTGCTTACTTCTATTCTGTGATTTGTGTGTGTGTGTGTGTGTTTCTGAATCAGAGTCTACTTTAAATTGTAGTATGTTTGGTGTACATTGTTCACTGTGTTACATATGCAAATTAAGAAAGTAAAATGTGCATGATATCATAGGAGATAGTCTGTATGATTATGTACATTTTACAAATGGGGTCAGAAACTTAGGGAACTGTAATAACCAGTGGGGCCCCAAGGGCCTGGCCCACTGGAGGGGGCTGGGCATCAAGAGGCTGAGATCATCACCCCATGGGGTGGGCTTTCAAGAGCTGTCAAGAAGTGGTTGGAGAGTGGGCAGCTTAGGGGAGGGGCTGAGTGGTGGTTGAGACTGTTAGACCCATTGGAGTGGGGGAGGGGGCACAGCCTATATATAGAGGCTGTGTATTACCAGCAGGGAGGTGGGGGGGGCGGAGAGAGAGATGGTGGGGAGAAAGACAGCAAGAAGTGCCTACCGAAGCAGATCAGAACAGGTCTGTGGAGGGGCCTGAGGCTTCTAGAGAGGCCTGTGGAGAGGCCTCCACTGGAGTAGAGCAGGGCAGGCCTGTGGAGAGTGGAGAGGCCTGCAGAGAAGGAGGAAGGAAGGAAAAGGAAAGCCTTACCCTTTGGAGCTTTGGAGCTTTTGGAGGTCTGAGTTGTGGAGGTTTGCCAATCAAGTTACAGACCAACTAATAAAGGTCAGGGCTGCCCATAGGAGGCTTGGAGGTTTGGTGGTCGAGGCTTCTCTTGGTTCTGGGTAGCCAGCTCAGGACAAGTTGTCACCTTTGACTATGCCAAGATAGACTGTCACACTCTCAGGTCATAATAGAACCTAGGTGGCAGGGATGAAGTCAAGGTTTTAACCCACAGTCCCAGCCTGCCAGATCCCTGCCTCTTACTGTGTCATTCTCCCTCCAGTCATTTTGGCTGCTCTTTCTAATGACAACTTAGCAAAATGGTTATGATACAGTGTCATCATTGCTCTGATCTTCCCTGAAGAATTGGTTAGTTGTGATTTTCCTCATTGTTTGGCATCTTAATAGAAGGCTGATCTTCAGATGTTGAGGACAATAATGGAGACTATCAGAAGATAAAGTAAGGCTATTGATATTCAGCAAGATGGGAAAATGAAGATTGCAGAGTCTGTCTCAGATTGTTAATTAAGACTTAAGAGCTGTAGAATCCAAAGCAGGTAGCTTAAAGGAATCATGAGGGTCACAGACAATAACCCATTTCTGTGTTGAAACTATGATTAGGCTCACATACATTACCTCATTGGCTCCTTGGTAACAAGCATTCAGAGTAAATCTGCTTATCACTTACATTGCGTATTTGTTTAGTTTAGAAACAAACTCAGAGTCTTGACCTTTTAATCTGACTGTATTTTTCTGTTCATTAACCACCTTGTTGCTTCCATAAGTCCTTTGATATTGAAGGATAAATAATACATGGTATCACCATCACTTCTGGTTTTCATATTGTACAATGCTCATTAGGAAAGAATGGAGTGAACAGGATTCAGGCAGCCAATCAAGCTCCGGTATTTAGCACAAAGCTGCCAAAAGCTATTCTGAAATTTGAGAATGTGAGTGTGGTTGCTAAGTAACCAAAACAACAACAACAAAAGCATTGTTTTTGTAGGAAATGCCTGCTGATGATGGCCAGAGTCCTGTGTGCACATGTCCCTAAATACCAGCAAACGGGAGGTATTGGGGTTAGGCACGTGCGTATTTTGGTGATGGTTGAACTGAGCTTCAGATGTCAATTCCACCACTTCCTAGTTGTGTGACCTTGGGTAAGTTATATAACCTTTCTGAGCTTCAGTTTCTAAACTGTAAATCAGTGAAAATAAGTCTATGCTTATCACCCCTTTCTTATCCTGCTCCTTCCTGTAGCCTGTTGAACTGCAGCAGAAATTTATGGCTTGGATTTAATGAGCACATCTGTATGAGACCAGCAGGGGGCAACATCCTGTGACGGGGAACCAATTTCACTGTGTGGCACTCTGTTGTGTTTACATTGTACACACTCCCTATGCTAATCTTGTAAGGATATCTACCAAGGAGAGGTATCACATTTGGCTTGTGCCTTCAGAATTTTGTGATAGAGAGATAAAGAATTTGAAAGACTTAAATAATGATTAATGACAGTATCTGAGAAAGTATCAATGTTGTGTAGATAAGTATATATACATGATTAAAATATAGTTATTATAGTTAAGTAAACATAATCTATAATGAGAGTATAAATTAAATACTTAAAAGGATTGAAATACCACGAAAAAGAAAAACAAAAAGTGATACATAGAGTTTCTTTGAATACAATTGGAAGTATACCATAATTACTCCTTTTAATTTTATTTTTGTGTCAGTACTGAGGCTTGAACTCAGGGCCTGAGTGCTGTCCCTTAGTTTTTGTTTTTCCCTCAAAGCTAACACCCTATCATGTGAGCTATAGCTCCACTTCTAGTGTGGTGGTTCATTGGAAATAAGAATCTCATGGAATTTCCTTCTAGGGCTGGCTTCAAATCTTGATTCTAAGAGCTCATGCTCCTCAGAAGTTAAGACTGCAGTCATGAGGTATCCATTCTTGGTTTATTACTGTCTTTTATATTGCTTTTTTCATCTAACAATATATGTTGAAGATTAGTTCTTACCAACATATATAGGCTAATTTATTATTAATTATTAAAAACATAGAAAAAACTGGCCTGAGACTGTAGTTTAGTGATGTGTAAAGCACTGTATTTGTTCCCCAGTACTGTAAAAAAATACAGAAAATAATTGACTTATACCCACTACTTAGATTTTACAGATCTGCATCATTATTGGCTCTGCAATGACAATCTTTCCATTTGTGTCATTCACATATACAAATGAGGTGAAGTTTTTTAAGGAGGGCCAAATTATCCTCCAAAGAAGCCAGATCTCTCTCCCACATTGTAGGAGTGTCACTGACATTGCAGGAGGACCTGCGCATCCCCACACTTGCAGAAAGTGTCAGATTTAGGTGGAGGAAATTGTTTCATTCTGCGCTTGCTTATGTGGATGCTCTAGAGTGCATACAGTGGGTCAGAAAGGCATCATACTTGTAGGGAACTTACTGTCCAGAGAGGAAAGACAAGGTAAACAGTGACGAGTGCTGGGAGCAAGGTACAGCAGTTCAGAGGAGGGACTGAACACCGGGAAGGGTGGGGTCAGGAATGCACCAGGGAGGGAATAGGCCTTAATGTTGTCTCAGTAATTAGCCTGCAGAATTGATTGAATAAATGCCTGCCTATCATTTATTGGTTAGCAGTGAATAGGTACTGACTCAGGACTCATGATCATCTTCTGATACTTTCATTCTCTTTCAGCTGCCTTTCTCTGGCACAAATCTTTTCACTCCCTTTACAAGTCTTTTTTTTTTTTTTTGAGTCTGGCAGATTCTAGAATCAGCCACCCCTTTGAAAAGAGACTGAGCTGAAAAAGGAAGTAGAATTTTTCTCTAGAGATGGGAACATTTTCAGAATGTTGACTTATGTATTTGAGGTTTACTTCAAATTTAGATGTAAGAAATAAATATTAGCATACACAAAGAAAACTCTTGGTAGTGGAAATAAATCACTGTTGTAATGGTATCACATGAAACTGCAGTCATGAAATCTTTCAACATGTAAATAATTTCCAACTCTCTTTTATAGTTAATTATTTAGGGTTGGTTATTTCTTTTTTCTTTTTCTTTTTTTCTTTTCTTTTTTTTTTTTTTTTGGGTCCGGTCGTGGGGCCTATACTCTGGGCCTGGGCACTGTCCCTCAGCTCTTCAGCTCAAGACTAGCACTCTAATACTTGAGCCACAGCACCACTTCCAGCTTTTTTCTTTTTGCTTATGTGGTGCTGAGGAATTGAACCCAGGGCCTCAGGCATGCAAGGCAAGTGCTCTACCACTGAGCCACCTTCCCAGCCCTGGCTATTTCTTTTTTAAAGTTAATTTCTAAGGGACATTAGAACTAATTTATAATACATAACTAATTATGTATAACTTATGAATAATTATAACTAATATGTATATATTCTAATATATGACATATAAATGTGCTTTTATTTTTTAGAATATTTAATATAAAAACAAATAGAGCTGAGCCCCAGGCTTATGCCTATAATCCTAGCTGTTCAGGAGGCTTAGGTCCGAGAATCAAAGTTCAAAGCCAGCCCAGGCAAGAAAGTCCATGAAACTGTCCAATTATCCAGCAACAAAGCCAGAAGTGGAGCTGTGGCTCAAATGATAGAGCACAGCCTTGAATGGAAAAAGCTGAGGGACAGTGCCCAGACCCTAAGTTCAAGCCCCAGTCCCATTGCCTACTCACCTAAATAAATACAAAATAAAAGATGAGTTGATCTTACTGAACACCCCTGTGTCCAGCTTTCTTCTGTTGAGATGGAATCTCTCAGACTTCTACTTTGGCTGGCTTGGAACCAATCTCAACCTCCTATGTAGCTTAGGATGACAGATTGACAGATTGCTTAGCTATGGGTTAAAAGGGGCCCTTCAACTGTGATCCTGCTATTCTCAGCCTCTCGAGTAGCTATTACAGGGCATGATTCATCCATAGTACCCAGCTGTGTGGTCACACTTTTTTTTTTTTTGGCTGGGTCACTTTTTTTTGTACCAGTACTGGGACTTGAACTTAGGACCTCTCAGCATTTTTGTTTGAGACTGCTTTTCCACCACTGAGCCACATTTCTACATCTGGCTTTTTGGTGGGAGATAAGAAGCTCTCAGATTTGACTACTTTGGTTGGTTTTGAGCTGTGAGCCTAATATCACAGCCTCCAGAGTAGCTAGGATTACATGTGTGAACCATTGGTGCCCTCATCACAATTTTTGAAATTAAAAAAAAAACACCAAAAGCCACAGTGTGGAGAGAATGATCTTTATTCGTAAAACTTCCTACACTCACTGTGCTCCAGCAGCTTCTGTCTACAAGGACCTCTACTTTGTTTTAACTTGCCTCTTAACTTTGTAAAGATTGGACAATTTTCCCATCATTTTATGGTATTAACTTCTTTGAAAAAGGGAGGAGTTAACCTGGAAATGTACTTGTGGCATAGAGAATACAGGTTTTAAGTCCTGGGTGATGTAGGAATCATGGAAAAAGGAGTGAGAGGAAGAACACAGATGGGATGGGCTCTGGTTCTTCTCCTGGGGCAAAGAGAAGATGGCATCGGCTGTTCAAGGCTTCCAGCACTACTGAAGGCTCTGTACTTGGTTCCAGACAGGTGTGCCAATATGATCTCAGTTTCAGAATGAACTCTTCCCACAGTAGTGAATGCGCAATGGAAACTCAGGAACTCAGGATTCTGATGAATGTACGCTGGCACTGACGGAAGCCCTAACTTTGGATAGTGCTTCACAACTGGGTTGGAGGATGCGAAAGCTAAAGTACTTTGGAGGGCACTTGGGTTATAAAAGGTCAGAGACAGGGGCTCAGGGGTGTTCTCAGCATCTGCTTGGTGAGGGAACCGAGAACTAGGAAGGGGTGAGGACCTTTCCCAAGTCTCTGTGTACTAACTTTGTTCTGGTTCTATTGGTCTTTGTAACTGGGCCTGGCTTAAATATTTGGGCACAAGTTGGGCCATACTCCGGCCCCCTCCACTGGCTCCCCCTCTTATTGGGTTTCTGGTCCCAGCCCTGGTACCATCATCACTGTGGCTGGTCAGGTGGCAAGCTGCTTGGCTGGTAAGTTCATGGGGTTTAGTATTCTGTCTCTGACACAGATCCCTGGGTTTCTAAGTAAGAGAAATGGGGACTGTCTCCTGTGCCTCACACACATCCGTCCACCATGGACTGAGAGGGCTGAGAGTCTGGCAAGCGTTCTTGCCCCAGCCCCTGGAGCAGGACAAATACGACTACGGGAACAAGTGTACACCAACAGTATCAGGGCAGACCTTGACCCAGACATCTTCTGCTTATTGATTGGCATGGGCTTTATTTTGTGGGAAAGCAGAATGTGGGATTCTCCAAAAGGCACTTGGGAAGGTGCAGAAGTAAAGGCAGCCATGGCTAATGGTGGATGATTGGTAGGGGTAGGTAGAAGAGACTGCCCCTGGGGCCACAGAAGAGATACCCAAAACCCAGTGCACCAAGGGGGAGGGGGAGGGGCAAAGCCAGTGTCCTGCTGGTTTATACCAGCACTTTGCAGTCTTAGAGTCTGGCACTCTGGGTTAGAGGCACAGGGCCCATCCACTTCTCTCCTGGATAGAGAAAATTAGAGAGGTCCACACACTGTTCACAGGTTATGTGAACAGTGTGATGGTCCCACAGAGCCCTAGGGCTTTCTAGAATGCGCAAGGCTTGCCTTCAGGATCCAGAAGCCTTCCCTCTCTCCTTTGGAGTAGGAAGTCACCCCTGCCCCCACCCCTTCTCCCCACCCTGACATCCAGCCTTGAACAGCACTGCTTCCTTGTTGGAAGTGCTAAGAACTTGTTCTGAACACTTCCTTCTGGTCAGCAGGAGTAAGCGTGGGTATCAAGGCCCAGAATAGAAACTTGAACTTACCCAGCAAGTATGCTAGCACCTCCATGCGGTCAGAGCCAAATAACATGTGGGTTTTACCATCCAAATGGACCACAGTGGTAGGGAGCCCAAAGGCCTGCAGAGAACAGTAGAGTGTAGAGAGAAGGTGCTGCAGCAGGTGTGTATGGGGGGTGGGTGGGAGTTCCAGGCAACACGTGTGTGTTGGGGGGTGCTGGTACAGAAGGAAAACCAACAAAGGGATCTTTGCCAAGAGGCTTCATGGGATCGGGTTCCTCTTTTGCTTCGGTAGCACAGAGCCTTTGGCTCTTGTCTCACCCTCCACCTCCCTTTCTTCCCTTCCCTTCTTGGGCTCAGGTAGAGGAGAAGCAAGTGGGTTGTTTGGAAGAACTGAGGAGGACTCATACTGAGGAGGGGACTTTGGGGAGCGAGTGAAGGGCCTCACACTTACAGTCCCTACCTTCAGGGTGGGACTTGGAAGCAGTTTCTCACCCCATATTTGCAGGCTGCCTCAGTGGTCTCCTTGAGCTTGTTCTTCACCTCTGCTGTGGATGCCTTCTTCAGAAAGTTTTGGGCTTGCTCTACAGACAAACCTGCTTTCTCTGCAGCCTAAGAGATGGCAGAGAGCACAGCTGTGTCCACGCTGTGTCCACACTGTGTGCAAAAGCTCTAGTCTTTTCCTTCTCTGTCCTCAAGTTTTCCTGGTAAGGCCTTCAGCCACCCCTAAGTGACAGTCTATTCTTGTCAAGAGAAAATGTCTCCCTGCCTCAGAGTCTTGAGATTAGTAGAAAGAGCAGGGGCACAGAGTTACAGACACAGGTAATTGAATTCCAGAGGACAGAGACTAGCTGGACTCACCTACTCCTTTCACAAGAGATAAAATGAACACATCACCTGCTCAACAGGTACAGAGCTTGTCAGTAGCAATGCTAGATTCCAAGTCCAAGTGATTTCCTTTCTACCTCCCAGAATTCCTAAATATCTCTTGCTGTGTGGAATCAAGGACTGGGTTCTAACTCCTCTGGATTGTGGGAGGGGATCATGACACTAGTCACCTGCCAGGTTTTAAGAGAATGATAAAGGTTTCCATTTAAGGGTGATTGTTGAAGTTTTGGATCAGTGGTTTGCAACTTTGGTTGCAGATTACAATCTCCAAATTGAAAAAATGCCAACCCCAGGTTGGGCATTCTCTAGAGAACATCAGAGCCCTAGGGGGTGGGGTTGGCACTGGGTACTTCTGGTAAGGCTAGTGTTAAGTGGAGCACTGAGACTTGATGTCCTTCTTCTGGAGGTCATGAAGTTTATGCTAAGGGACGATTGTCTATGGCAGGTTAAATCAGAGATTTGAGTCTCAGATGAAATGTTCAGCATAAAGGAATGGACAAGTGAGCAAAAATAAGGCTAGTATGTGGGATGTTATATGGAAATGTAACTTTCAAAAAGTTAAAAATGAGCATGGTAGGCTCATGCCTATAATCCTAGCTACACAGAAGGCTGAAAGCGTGCACACCAGTTCCGGTGCTTGAATTCAGAGTCTGTGCACTGTCCTTAAGCATTTTTCTCAAGTATTCTACTACTTGAACCACAGCTCCACTTCCAGCTTTTTTGGTAGTTAACTGGACATAAAGAGTTTCACAGATTTTCTTGCCGGGCGTGCTTCAAACTGTGATCCTCAGATCTCAGCCTCATGAGCAGCTATAATTATAGTGCCCAGTTGTGATACTCTTATCTCCAACCACCAAAAAGCTAGACAAGTGATAGAGCACCAGCTTTGAGTAAAAAGTGTACAGGTTCTGAGTTCAAGCCCCAGGACTGGCATACAAAAAATAGTTAAAAGTGTCATGGAAAGTGTTAAATAAAATTATGCTTATTTTCTGATGAAATAAAGACACAGAAGATATACTAACCATTCTCTGCACATTTAACTTTGGTATGGTTTACCATTTCATGTATTACACATGAATATACCTTACCTCTCTCCTGTAAACTAGAAGACAAGTATTGTTTCGAATTTCCTGACTGAACATTTTTTATCTGAAGCTCTTGTCTCTACATGGATTTCGGTGTTTTGAGCACTTTCAATTTGCTGCCATTTCTGTCTGTATAATTTTTGGCACCAGGCCCTTATCGTTTCTAGGTCTTTTTAGTCTCCTGCTTTCCACTTTGCATCTGTTGGTGAGGTTTGTGTTGGAGTCTTTGGAGGCTGGGTTCTACCTGCATCTGGGGTTTTGCAAAGTTGATCATCTTTTCCTTATGCATTCTAAGCTCGCAATCTTAACACTGAGCTACACTTTAAGCCTCTGAGAAATCCCCCTCCCCCCTCATTCTTTTGGTGCTGGTACTTGAACTCAGGGGCCCTGCTTAGTACTTTTGCTCAAGGCTCTACCACTTGAGACACACACTTCTAGCTTTTTTTCTGGCTTTTTTTTTTTTTTTTTTGGTGATTGGTTGTAGGTAAGAGTCTCTCAGATTTGTCTGCCTAGACAAGCTTCTAACCTCCAACCTCAGATCTTAGCCTCCTGAGTAACTAGGATCATAGCTTGGTGGGAAATTCTTTTGAGAATCCTCTTTGTGCCAGCTTTGCATTCATTTGCCCTCTCAAACACAGACATTCTTTCTCTCTATGACCTTTCCCACACACTATGAAAATGAGTCTTTGCTTTATCCCCAAAGGCCAGCAGTTGCCATAGTCTCTAGGACCGCCATGGGTGGGGCTGCAGTACTTACCTCTAGCATACTCTGGGGTGCAGCTATGTCTTCATTCTGGGAAGAAGAGAACACTCAGCAGGAAAACACTGTCAGGAGGCAGGATGGCTGGGCCCTCCCTCTGGAAAGTGGCATGGCAAAGTCAGGCCACCATCCAAACTTCCCAATGGCAGATTCCCAGAGCCAAGCCCTCACCCGTGACCAGATGCGCATCCACAGCTCCCTGGACACCTTCTCCAGCATCTGTGGTTGCTCCATGTTGACTGCGGTGAGGAATCGCATGGCTGCCAGGGTTCCTGCGGGGTGGAGGTGGGGAGAAGAGTAAGGGGGCAGGGAGGGGAGGTTTGCACACAGACACTAGAGGGTAGGGCTTCTCTCGCAAGTATTCAGACAGAGGGAGGGAGGGCCAGCTCACCCCAGGTGCTGGCTTTCCCAGGCTCACTCACTTGTGGCCTTTCACAAAACTGTTCATAACTGACTTGCCCTGCTTGGCTTCTCCATATGTCACCAAGAACGTTTCTCCCATACCAACGCTTAGATTAGCCTGAGTTAGTCTTCCGAGCAAGCCCCTGCTTCCTGGCCCTTTAGTCACCTGCTCTGATCACTGCTGCCCCAATTCCCCAGCCGCACCCCACCTCTTTACCTTTTGGAACAACCTCAGAGAAGAAATCGTTGCGGAAATTCAAGGGCACCTGGAAATGCCTTTTCAGGAGATTAAGGTCACCTTTCATGTACCGGGCCTTGGCGGGCAACAGACCCGGCGCCTGGTTTCCTGGTGTGGAGAGTTGGGCAAGTTGGTGAGAGGCAACTCGAGGGTCTCAGGGTTGGCAGATCCGCCCTGGGGATCTCCCACAGGGCAGATTACCAGCCCCTTCCTCGCAGCCTCTCACCCGCTCCTCAGAGGTCTCCCCCTTCCTACCGCTGCTCCGCATGACGCCCCCGAGGAGGGTGGGCTGCAACTTCAGCTTGATGTTCCAGAGCTTTTGGTATCTGCACAGGACCTGTCCGCGTGGAGGCAAAGGAGAGCCAGTGTGTGCAAGACTCCAGAAAGACTTCGGAGAAAGTGACAGGGCCCAGAGCAAAGGGCGACAAACTCGCTCCTCCGGATCCCCAAACCTTTGCACCACTGGACGGGTTCCATCCTGCCTGGCACCCCGACCCCCACACTGACGTCAGAGGCTGGTGGTAGCCGTGGATCCCCCCTCGGCTTCTTGGTGTATCCAACCCCTGTTCTCTTCTGAACCCCGAGGCTGCCCTGTCTTGGGGGGGGTGAGTGCTCGACTCGGAACCGGCGATGGCACAAGGTGACCTTGAGCCGGGGCGCACTTTGCCTGTCCACGGCCCCCCCACCCCCCAGGGCTGCGCCAGAATTCCAGACTTCTGCTCAGGGGGCGCCCCGCGCTCCCGGTGCCTCCGCCCTCCAGGCCGCGGCCAGTCTTCCCCTGTCCCCCAGGTCACCTCGAAGCCCAGCCAGGAGTAGGGGGACATCACATCGTAGAAGAACTCCAGAGTGCGCGGCCCGGGCCCCATGCTGCCGCGGCAGGTGAAAACACGGGAAAGTCAGGCCACGGAAGAGCAGCTAACTGCTCCAGGTCCCTGCGTCCCGGGCGCGCAGACACCGCCCCCGGCGACGGGCACCGCCCCCGGCACTCAGGCACCGCCCCCTAGAGGCATGCCCCGCCCCCGGAACGCTGGCACCGCCCCCCGCGCGAGACACCGCCCCCCGGCCTCGCACACATCGCCCCCGGCAGCAGGCTCCGTCCCCGCCCCTGGCACCGCCCCCCGGCGCGCACACATCGCCCCCGGTGCGCAGGCACCGCCCCCCCGGCGCGCTGGCACCGCCCCTCCGGCGCACACATCTCCTCCGGCAGCAGGCTCCGCCCCCCGCCCCTGGCACCGCCCCCCGCGCGAGACACCGCCCCCCGGCCTCGCACACATCGCCCCCGGCAGCAGGCTCCGTCCCCGCCCCTGGCACCGCCCCCCGGCGCGCACACATCGCCCCCGGTGCGCTGGCACCGCCCCCCCGGCGCGCTGGCACCGCCCCTCCGGCGCACACATCTCCTCCGGCAGCAGGCTCCGCCCCCCGCCCCTGGCACCGCCCCCCGCGCGAGACACCGCCCCCCGGCGCGCACACGTCGCCCCCGGCAGCAGGCTCCACCCCCCGCCCCTGGCACCGCCCCCAGCGCGCTGGCAGCGCAGTCCCCGCCCCATCTCCGTTCGGTCGCACTTACAGGTAGTCCTCTCCCCCTTCCGCGCCAGTGCGCAGCCTCCGGAGACCCCGCCCCGGGCCCCCCCGCGCGGGGCCGAGCTCCTGCGTGAGTGGGAGCAGAACCGTGTCCAGGGTTCCAGGGGAAGCGCGGTGGGGGGCGCCGGGGGCTGCACTCCGCACCCTGCTCTGGCGTGGGGTCCGGTGCCGAGCGGGTGCGCGGTCTGACAGGCTCTCGGAGCCTCTGCCCGGGTTGCGCGCCTTTGGTCAGTTCTCTCGGGAGCTCTGTCCCGGGCCGGGGGGACAGGGCAGGTGCGGGGCCGGAAGGCGCCGCCGCTCCAGCGAGCGCGAGCGTACAGTGAGCTGGCGTGAACCTCGCGGACCGGGGGGGAGAAGCCCCTCAGGTCCCGCGGCGCCCCGCGGCGGCTCCTACCCGAGACCGGGGGAGAGCCCTTCCGTACGCCCGGACCCTGCGCGGACGGGTGGAGCGGCCCTGGGCAGCCCCGGGCCCGCACGTGCACGCGGGGGGCGCGCGTTAGTGCGTGAGTTAGCGCTTTAGAGATGATCAAGGTAACCGAGTGCTGTGCAGCCCCCGCCGCGTACGGGCTCCAAGGGTTACCAGCGCTGGAATCCAGCACTGCCAGGTTTGGTCTGGTCACCAGATTAGACACCGACCCGGAGGCGGTAGCGTACACAGAGCAGATACCCCCAATGGCGGAGTGATTCGCCTCCCTGGAAGGGAGTCATGATACAGACGCAGAAACACTCAGAACTTCACGTTTTTAAGTGTGTGTTTCTGGAATTTTCCATTTACTCTTTTCAGAACACAGTGGAGTACTGGAAAGTGAAACTTTGGCTGAGTAACGGTCCTATTCCATCTACTTACTGCAACCTGGAGAAGAGCTTAGCAGAGTTTCGAAAAAAACCCACCACAAATCTTGAAAATAAGTTACAATTAACACCTGGTATGTCAGACATGTGCTACCTCTGATTAAAGATCAGAGACGCAAGTTAAATGGGCAGTAAAGTGAAGGACATTTTTACATTTTTTTTTTTTTTTGGAGAGACTGAAAGAGACAGGGCTAGTCAGGGCTGGGATAACTTCACTATAGCAATGTTTACAGGAATAGTGGGGAACTTGGGTTTGCGAATACACCCTGTTAGCTGAGTCTGTATTTACTACAATGATATATAAAGAATCACATTTAATTGAATTAAAATTATTTTATAAATGAGAAAGCACAGAACAGATTCCATTGCTCACTTATATTCATTAGGAAATAGTTCTAGACTATGAGAGTACCAAGATCAAGCCAGTACCTCCACATGGAATATGCTATAGACTCCTCTGTAATGTCTCCCAAAGGCCCATGCATTAAAGGCTCTGTCCCAAAGAAATGGGCAGTGCCTATCATCCTACCTACCGAGGATTTCAGTCCAAAGCCAGGGGCAGTAAAGTCCTTGTGGCTCTCGTCTACAGTTAAACACCAAATAGCGGGAAGTAGAGGTATAGCTCAAGTGGTAGAGCACCAGCCTTGAGAGAAAAGGCTCAGGTACAGTGCATGGACCCTGAGTTCAAACCCCAACACTGGCACAAATAAAAGAGTTACACAATCTGAATAGCAGCCATGGTAAGAGGTAGAAACTTTAAAAAGGGTGTTTGGTGAAGGTCATCACTGGTGAAGGTGATTGGAGCATGCCCTAGAAGGGACTGTAGAAGTGATCTGCTTCTCTTTGCCTCTGGCCTTGAGAAGGCTTCACCTTCTACCCCCTCTGTGATGGTAGTGCCATGCTTCAGACACTTCCCCAAACAATAGAATCACCAAATATAGATGGATACCCCAACGTCAAAGCAAGTAAACCTTTTCTCTTTATAAACTGATTATATCAATATTTGTTAAAGTAACATAACACTGAATTACACTGACTGAGTAGAACATACAAAATAGAAATGAGAAATGATACCCATTTGTAAATTCATTGGTTAACGACTACTGAAGCTGAACAATTGTACCTTTGTTTTTCTCTTGTAATATTAACTTGAAAGTATGCATGAAATAATTCAACATGGAAGTATAAGGTTTTGCTTTAAAAGTAGATGAATTGTTTCTAAAAACATATTTGGAAATAGTTTGGGACTTGAGAAAAGCATTCCTGAAAACTCCTTTCCCTGGCTTCTCCTAATGTGAATAATACATAGATGTGGTATAATAAAAACTAAAAAATTAACATTGCTACATTGCTATTAATTAAATTGCAGACTTTATTCAGATTCCTCCAGTTTTCTCACTAATGTTCTTTTTACTAGTTTCCTCTTATCTATGAATGTTTCTTGGTCTGTGTTTTATAATCTTGATACTGTTGAAAATACTGGTCAGCTAGTTTGTAGAATGCTTTCTCCTCTTGGATTTGACTGAGATTCTCTCGGGAGTAGTCTGGAGTTATGGATTTTGGAGAATACCATGGTGGTGAGATGCTCTTCTCCTCACATCTCACCAGAGAGTATACAATATCAACATGACTTGTGATGATGACAAAGTTGATCAGCTGGGTAAAGTGGACCCACTATCAAGGTTCTATACCATAAAATCCCCATTCTCCTTTTGCATACTCCATTTATTATTATTATTATTTCGCATCTTAATTCATGTCACCCCTTTGAGTTGATCAATGCAGCCCACATTTGTAGTGTGAGTTTTCATTTGAACAGAGTGTGATCAGTGGATTGTGGCTGCTGAAGCTAGGCTGTTTGTGATTGGACGAGACTCCTATGATTGGACTTGTGTGGTTGGCTGAGATAGGAGGAGATTCCTAGCTTTTAGTTTATTTCTGTAGTAAGTTAGGCTGCAATTCTTTTCACAGGAAGCACAGAGTTAGCCACAGGCTATTGGCTTCTTGCTTGTTTAGTTGAACCCTAGATATTGATCAGAATTGTTGAAACAAGAAATACTGGCACAAATAAATAAGTTGCTTTTTCAAATAAGTCCAAGATGCATTATTGAATAAATGGCATTTTAGCAACTGAGATGTTTAAACATGTAGTTGGGGCCTTTTGTGAGGTCTTATACTTGGAAGATCTCTAAACAGATCCAGTATTTAGTTGTTAAAAATAGATATTTATAAAAATAGTCATAAAAATTGGAAGTATGGACAGCCCTACTAACTGTAATGCCAGGTGGAGAAACTTAAATGGTTGACACATCCAGTAGTATTCAAGTTTTTAAGAAATCTGCTTGGGAAATCCAGTAAGTTACATAAAGACTGATTAAAAAACATTCTCTGAGTCAAAAGCTCACTTTACTTATCCTGGGGAGGAAACAGCTAAAGTTCAGTGTATTAAAGGAAAAGAAACCCAGTGGGGAAATGGGCAAGTGAAAATAAAAAATTCACAGGAATAAACTTTAGATGCTTTTCAATGAATTTTTAAAAAGCTCTTGCTTGTTCATACATTATGAAATATGTCAGTTAAATCTACATTGATTTGGTTTTATCTATCAACCTCACCAAGATCAAAGTCTGATGACTCAGTGTTGGTGAACGTTCTTAAGTAATCAGTGGGAGTGTCTAATAGTACAATCTCTGTGGAGAATAGTTCAAGCTTATATCCTTGTTTTGCAAATGAGCAAGCCCTGACTCAGCATTTGGAAGAATTTATGACATAGACAGGATTGTCTACACAATATAATGTGATATGAGGTTATGAGTGCAGGTTTTTAATCAAGTTTTTATTTAATGAGGTTATTAATTTTAGTCATGAAATAATACTGGCCTTTTCAAAAAATTTTTATATCTATTAAGAAGATCATAATATACTTTATTTTGGTAATGCAGTGAATCACATGAATTGATTTTTGTGTGCTTAATCCTTTGTGAAGCTGGGTGCAGTGGCTCAGGTTTGTAATCCCAGCTACTCAGAAGGTAGAGATCAGGATCAAAGTTGGAGACCAGCCTCTGTGTCTTATATGCGTATGTGTGGGGTAAATTTAGCAAGTCTATATTGTAAACAACAAATTGGATATAGTGATATGGGTCTGTGGTATGTATAGATGGACTGGAACAGAAACAAAACAATATCAGGGATCATGGGCAATTTCTCTTCACTTTTCATAGGCTCTTTAAAGCCATTGTAATTCCCTCTTCCCTCCTCCCTTCCTTCCCTTCTCTTCCCATCTTTCCTCCTTCCTTCCCCTCCCCTTCTCTTCTTTTCCCCATGTCTCCCCCGCTTTTTTTCAACCCCCCCCAAGGGGCCAAAGTCTAGTTGAGGCAACTCGTTAGCGGACTCTGGTTTGTGTCCCCAGAGGACATGTACATAATGTCACAGTGCCTCCTACTGTAGTAATCTTGATATTTCTCCCATCATAAATTCTTTGGAAGTAATGTCATTAGAGATTTTATAATTTGAATGTTGAAATG